ATACAGTCCAGGGCCCAGCCCATGAAATGATGTTCCATATGTTCAGAGGCCTTCCCACCTCAATTAAGACAGTCCCTCACAGACTGGGCTCAGAGGCCAGCCCAATGTAGCAACCCTCACTGGGACATGGTTGACATTGAAAACCTACCAGCACACCAGCCAGCCCTTTGCACTTTCAGGTATTCTACGACCTGGTTCTTAGTCAGGGCAAGTCTTTAAACCACCAAAACTATTTTTTAAAAAACTACACCAAAAATTTATTCACCTACTTCACCTCTCACCCCAGAACTGTTTAATCAGCTAGCCTCTAATTCAGAATCCAACCATTTATTTCCTAGTTCAAGGTCTCCAAAGGGAGATGCAATTGTGTAAAGTCAGTAAGCTACAGTCAGTGTGGCCTCCTGACTCCCACTTTATGCATTCTCTGTCCTCAAGATATATAACAGCAGGAAGCTGCTTAGGAAGCAGACTTGGGTCACATCTGATAAGACTCATCACAGAAGCCCAGTTCTTGGCAGTCAGGTGGTTCTATTATCACCACATGTAAGGAATCTATCAGATTATGAAACTCACAGCTTTCCATTCCTTCAGGTAACCACACAAGAAACAACTATGGAGAACAGCCCAGAAGATGGGGCCTACATCAAAGGGCTTTTCCTTGAAGGTGCGCGTTGGGACAGGAAAACAATGCAGATTGGAGAATCTCTCCCCAAAATCCTCTATGACCCATTGCCCATCATTTGGCTGAAACCTGGGGAGAGTGCATTATTCCAGCATCAGGACATTTACGTGTGTCCAGTGTATAAGACAAGTGCCCGCAGAGGCATACTCTCTACTACTGGCCACTCTACTAACTATGTCCTGTCCATTGAACTTCCGACAGACATGCCTCAGAAGCACTGGATAAACCGAGGCGTGGCCTCATTGTGCCAGCTGGATAACTGATGTCAGGTGTCTCAAAACTGAGAGTAAATGGCATTTCATTCTCCATTACCACTAGCCTCTCTTTCCTAAATTGTATAGTATGAAGGTGATGGTGATATAATAATCAATAGAGCCTGACATTTCACAGCAGTCCTATAAGGTAGGCTATGATCATTATTATTGTCATCATTTTATGGCAGCAGAAACCATGAGAAGGTAATCCCCCAAACTAGATAGCTACTAAATTGGAACACAGATAGTGTCACTGTCCACCTAGACTTGTGGTCACTTGACTTAAGCTTGCTTGGGGTCATTTTCCTCACCTTGGGTTTTGCTATAGCTGCCACAGAATTTCAGTCACTGCTTTCCCTGACTGACACACTTGTACAGTCATCAAGGCCCCATCAGAGGTTTAGAATGGCTTGAACTTTTTCTTTTAAGGCTCTTGGTATATTTTATTAAGACTTTTTGCGTGTATGTGTCTGAATGCGGGAATGTGTATGTGAGTACAGGAACCCAAGGAGGTCCAGAGACAGTATTTGATCCCTGGAAATGGAGTTACAAATAGTTGTGAGGTGCCATGTGGGTTATGAGGGTTCTGAGAACTGAACTCAGGTCCTCTGCAGGAACAACAAGTGCTCTTACCCACTGAGCCACTCCAGTTTCCACTTAATATATTTTATTCTCACATCTTACACAACCTTAGGAGGGAAGGATTATCATTACTTCTACTTTACCGGTGCTAATTAGGTTCCAGTCAGTCAATGGTACAAGTTCAGCTACTGCTTGATGCCAAGGATTGAACTCGTGGCCTTAAGCACTCCACTAAACTACAATTCCCAGCTAAGTTTCAATTGCTTTTCTATCAGTTACATGAATGGTCTAACTTCTGAGATAAGAGTAGCCTATTTGTTGTTTGCCTATTGCATGCAGGTTTTGTGCCCAAGCCTGTGGCTAACTTGCTCACTCCCATGCCTGGAAATAATTGTCCTCACCATATAGATGCTCAGGAAGAGGAAAGAACCTGTCTAAGAGTACCACACAGCTCGTTCGCATTTCACAGGCAGGTGGAGGCTCTCCAGCTCTTGAATTCATGTATACTGCCTCCTAGCCAAGGACTTGGCTGTTCTGATGTAGACTCTTGAAAGAGACTGTAGTTCCAGCCACATGACTCTGTCCAAGGAATTTCCATCCTTGTTTCTCTCCAGAAAATCCAGAGAGAGACAAAAACACCAAATTCCTGATGTATTTTTCCCTGACTCTTTCATATAGCTTTAGACTCTAAGTGGCTTTACTTGGAATATTCAGAGTGGAGCAGACACAGGTTGTTAGTCTTAATGTGTATGGTCTGGCTATTCTGCCTCTTTTGCTAGAAACAAATGCCTCGATTCAAGACCTGAGAATCTTCCTCAGTGTGGCAAGCCTCAGCAAATGAAATAAAGGTATTCCAAAAACTTTAGTTTCAATTTCTTCATGGTGTCAAGCAAATTTTGAGATGAGCAAGCTTTCCAAGTGCCCAGAAAGAGTAAGTGTATGGTAATAGAGACAGTAAGAAAGTATACTCCTACTCAAAGTTGTTACTAAAGGTGTTTTTCAAGAAAGAAATACAAATTTTTCAATATGTAGATAAATCAGAATGATATCTAGTATCATTCCAAATAAGTGGATCAGTCACATGAGATAGAATGATGGTTAGGATCCAAACCCTAACTCTTGGGATGGTAGGTAAGTCACATTGCAGGCTGTAGAAGAACGGTATGAGGGGGCTGCTAAGAGAAGAGATGAATTTTAATTATAGTTATCTAACTCCAACCTCACTCAGCACTGAAAATCTGAGAGAGACAAGGACTGTCTCATTCTTCAAGGGTCAAAGGACAGAATGTTTTTGTATGATGGATTACACTTTTTGAAATTTAAAATATTTCCTCTACTTTGAAAACCAAGATTAGTCTAAATTTGAGGTCACTTTCAGCTGGGGTCAATGTGGTAATAATGCTTCCTCCTGGGAAAGGGAAAATGTTCTTCAGAAATCATGGCGAATTAGAGGCTAGAGTCTTGGGCAAAGAATGCCAGAAGTCAACTCAATAGGAAGCAGCAAGCTCTGCTTATAAATAACTAACAGATGACATCAGGCAAACCTGGTGTACTAGTCAGGGTTCTCTAGAGGAACAGTACTGACAGACTGAATCTCTCTCTCTCTCTCTCTCTCTCTCTCTATATATATATATATATATATATATATATATATATATATGTATATATATATATATATTTATTATAGTGGCTTACAGGCTATGGGCCAGCTAGTCTAACAATGGTTGTCTACCAATGGAAAGTCTGAGAATCCAGTAGTTGTTCAGTCCAACTGGATGGATGTCTCAGCTGGTCTTCAGTATACACTGGAATCCCAAAGAAGTAGGCTCTAATGCCAGTAAATCAAAAGTGAGAAAAAGCAGACAAAGAGCAAAAGTTTCTTTCTTCTGTGTCCCTTATATAGGCTATCACCAGAAGGTGTGGCCTAGATTAAAGGAAGATCTTCCCACATCAAAAGGTATATGTCCACTTCAAATGATTTAATTAAGAAAAATCCCTCAGCTAGATGTGGTGGCCAGTACCTTTAATCCAAGCACTTGGGAGACAGAGCCAAGTAGATCTGAATTCGAGGCCAGCATGGTCTACAGAGTGAGTTCCAGGACAGTACAGAGAGAAACCCTTTTTTTTTTTTTTGCGGCGGAGGGGTAGGGGTTACGAGACAGGGTTTCTCTGTATTGTTTGGGAGGCTGTCGGCCCAGCCTGGCCTCAAATTCACAGAGATCCGCCTGCCTCTGCCTCCCGAGTGCTGGGATTAAAGGTGTGCACCACCACTGCCTGGTTGACCTTACATTTTTTAATATTTATTTTTTATTTTATCTGTATTGGTGTTTTGCCTGCATGTCTGTGTGAGGGTGTCAGATCTTGGAGTTACAGGCAGTTGTTAACTACCATGTGGGTAGCTGGAATTGAACTCAGGTTCTCTGGAAGAACAGTCATGTTCTTAACAACTGAGCCATCTCTCCAGCCCCTGATCTTAAAATTTTTTAGCTATTGAGCAGTTAGTTATGTTCAATTTTTGTTAGTGACAGAAACGAATTTCATTGAGGGAAGGGACATAGGAAGGTAGTTTTTGCCTTTAGGAGACAGAATATAAGAATTTAATGGACTTGGAGGGAAAGTGGGGGAAATTGTATGAAGAGTAAGACATAAGCTTGGCATGATAGCACACACCTGTAATCCATCCATCCATCCAAACGTTATATAGTTTGACAGCAAACTGATGTTTTATGTAATAGTATATACATCTTGGAAAAGGAAGCTAGACATAGAAAATTCACATTAAAACTTCCTGTTATGTAGAAGGTTCTCAAAGGTTGTCATAGTAATTAAGCAGTCTTCCATTGAGAAAAAGGCTAATGGGAAAGGTAATTCCTAATGGTCGGCAGAGTAAGGCAAAATTGCACATAGTCAAAAATCACTGTCTCCTTGAGCCACTTAGAAAGGGAACATGATGGAGATGGGCAATTTGGATCTCACTTGGTTCAGCACACCCAGCTTTCTTCTGATGTCCCACTGGTTGATTACCACATGAAGTTGAGTTGCTTGAGTTCAAATATCCCATCTTCATGGGAGATACTTAAACAGTAACTCATCCTCAATTAGGGTAATGCTTTGACTAAGATTTGCTGGAAGAAGAACCAAAGAGATGGCAGATTTCTTTCTTTCAGTTCAAGCTAGCCTGAGGTATGGGCTCACAGAATAGCCAATATGCATTCTAACACACTAATGTTTCTTTCCTCACCAAGGAAAGAAACATAATTAATGTTTCTTTAATTATCATTGCATTTGTATTGAATATGCATATACTATTTATTACTTCACTGATTGTCACAGTCAGTATACAATTTGTCCCCACTACTATTGCCAATCCCTGAAGCACTTTCCCAGAACATGAAAAGGATGCTTCTCCTCACACTAGCACAGTCCTTCTGCTGTTTCTAAGGGTCACAGCCCATTATGGAAAAGAACACAAGGAGGCTCAATAAGTAGAGATTTATTTTTATTAGTGAGGTCCACTCTCTGTTGGTGTACAAACAGCTTACTGTGAACTCCATTCTGACTCTACACATGCTCTCTTCGTCCCATTTCTGTTCGGCTGTAACTTGGAAGTTGGCTTAGACCTTGTGCTTTTAAATTAGGTTAAAGTAGAATAAAATGAATGCAGTATAAATGTCATGGAAGCTGTTTAGATCCTAAATGCATCCTAAGTAATCACATTTACGATAAGGCAAACATATAACTAAGGCATGCACTTCCATTTAGCAACAGGGAGAAGAAGGATGTCATGCCATATTTCCATTAAAAAGACAACATGATCAGCTTGGTGTAGTGGCTCAGGTCTGTTAATTCGAGCAGGAGGATCAACACAAGTACAAGGCCAGTCTGGTCTACATAGAGAATTCTAGGCCAGCAAATAGGAAAACCCTGTTGCAAAAAAATACCCCCTGTCCAAACTCAACAAAGCAAAACAAAACAAAAGTATGATCAATTCAAAGCTGCTCTTTATAAAGGAGTATATCTGGAAATTACAAGAGTCAGGAGACCACAAAAAAAGACTATACAGAAAGCACTTTTAAGCAAATGAATAACTTGTTGATAAACCTCTACTAAGTATTTTTGGAGCAACATAGTTTGGTAGCCATGTGAACTTGCAGCAACCAGCTAACCCTTTTTGCATCAGCTGATATGTGCTGAATGGCAGTGCCAAGAACTGCCTTTGGCCTTCCTCCACAAACTTTAGACTTGCTCCCAAGGATGACTTCAGTTAAGATGTAAGGTCCATGACCTCTAGGGCCAGTGTCATCAGTTCAGGCAGCAGCAAGACCCTGAAAAACCCTAGGAATACTTGCAGCTACAAGTTATAGGTGAGGACCAACTCTGGAGGTCTAAAGGAAGTGGTGTTTTTCCTTTTAATCAAGAAGGTCATGTTGTCTGATTTACATTCAAAACCGAGTCGGCTCACGATTCTCAAAAGTCATCTGTCCTCTCCGTTAGGAAACTTCATCGTGAGACTGCAGATACACTGGTTTGGAAAGTTTTCTCAGTTTCTCCTGGGTTTGAAGTCTCCGACCTCGTAGTGGAATAAGACCCATTGGAGGCAGATGAATCTAAGTAGAATAATGATGTGAAGAATCATAACCATTAGTGCAGCTTTTATTCATTGAGGATTTACTGTTTCTAAGTGCTAATGATAACTTCTTAAGGATGTATTTGTATATGTATATGTTTGTTTGTTTTGAGACTGGGTTTCTCTATATAGCCCTGGCTGTCCTGGAACTCATTCTGTATACCAGGCTGGCCTACAACCCACAAAGATCCTCCTGTCTCTGCTTCTTGAGTATTGGGATGAAAGGCAAGTGCCACCATTGCCTGGCTAGGAATTATAACTTTTATAGTTGAAAAAATGAAGGCTCAGAGAAATTTAATAATGATTTGGTCAAGGTTACACATTAAGCCAGATGTTGGTGGTGCATGTCTTTAATTTCAGCAATTGGGAGGCAGAGGCAGGTGGATCTCTGTGAGTTAGAGGCTAGCCTGGTCTACAAAGTGAGTTCCAGAAGAGCCTCCAAAACAATACAGAGAAACCCTGTCCCGAAAAACCAAAATAAAAGAAAAGAAAAGAAAAAAGAAAAAGAAAAGGTTACACATTAAGTGGTGAAACTGGATCTGAAGCCAGAATGTGGCACCCATCTATGCCATTTTTCCTGAACATAGGAAAAGAACTAGAGATCCATTCAGCAAAATGGGCATCCAAAAAAGAAAAGAGAAACACTGCTTACATACTAAGATGCTCAGTGGATGACAGGCATTGATGCCAACTCAGATGCCTACTGAGGTAGAAAGCTGCTCACATTATGGCCGTGACAGCTAACCTCATGAGTAAATCTTACTAACCCCTATTAAGAATCATTTCTGGATGCATGTGTGACAGTATTTCCAGATAAGGTTAGTATATGAATTACTGGATTCAATAGACTTCTCTCCCTGATGTGGAGGAACATCCTTCTTTCTAGCAGGGCTTGAGAAAAGCCAAAGGATGTCACTTCTTTTGCTTCTTGCTCACCTCATTTGAGTGAGACACCTCATCTTCCCCTGCTTCCACCCTAGATTTCTACCATCAGCCCCCTTGGTTCTTGGGTTTTCAGGCTCAGACTGAATTGTGCCACTGACTTTCTTCTGGGTCTTAAGTCTCCATAACTGTATGAGCCAATTCCTTACAAGAAACATCCTTTACATATCCAGATTTGCTTGTACATCTCTATTCACACACCCATCCAGCCAGCCAGCATCCATGCATCCATGCATCCATGCATCCATGCATCCATGCATCCATGCATCCATCCATCCATCCATCCATCCATCCATCCATCCATCCATCCATCCATCCATATCTTCTGATCTCCTTCCTACTGGTTCTAGTTCTCTGAGGAAACCTGACTTATACAAATAATGATGGTACATCCTTACAATAGCATGCAATGAAAACATTTAGGAATGAGGTAGAGTTGTATACAAAGATGCTAGAAGAGATGAAATAAGTAGATAATAAAAATAATATACCTAGAATTCCATGTATGAAGGAATGTGTGTGCACATGTGTGTGTAAAACTATGAACTTATTACCGGATAATTAGCTTGAACTGATAAAGTATCAAATCACTGCTTTTCCGACTCAAAGAGTTGAAAAACTGGTAATTTAAAAATTACAGTAGTCTCTTCCATGAGGTAGAATTTTTGACAATTTTCACTTTCTACTTTCTGTAACCTTTAAATATTTTAACTTTACCTTTTTAGTATTTAAAAAGCTTGCCTTTTATAATAAGGAAAATAGAAGCATTTCATTAAAATGGATAAAGGCCCAAAGTAAAGCTTTATAAACATGAGTTGGTTTTCCCTTCCAGCTAGTGGGAAACTGCACAAGAGAGGACCAGGTGTTCACTGACACAGTGATTTATTGTGGTGGGTTGGTAGCATACAAGGATAACTTATTTCTAACATGCTTCCTACAATGGCTCTCAGCTTCTCAGCGAATATCCTTCATGGCATCCATTCTTAGAAATAACTGGGTTGACAAGGATAAGTGCCCAACACCTGTTCACTGCAGCCATACTTACTGGCCTTGGATAAGGAATCTGGTAATGCAGTCCAATCTCAATCCTGGCTGTGCATTCATCTATACACTGTTTAATCAGGTCTGGGTCTGTGAGCTATTTAAGGGGAAAATAAATGAGGCAGTTAGTATCTTTATAATAGTATATAAGATATAGTACAGATTTTCTTAAAGTTTTCAGTTCACTATCCAGGAACTTCAATATTAGTAAATAAAAATCTCTCCTCTTTTTTTTTTTTTTTTTTTTTTTTGGTTTTTACAAGACAGGGTTTCTATGTATTGTTTTGGAGGCTGTCGGTCCAGCCCGGCCTGGAACTCACAGAGATCCGCCTCCCGAGTGCTGGAATTAAAGGCGTGCGCCACCACCGCCCGACAAAATCCAGTTAACCCTCGTTTTTTTTTTTTTGTTTTTGTTTTTGTTTTTTTTTTTGGTTTTTCGAGACAGGGTTTCTCTGTGGCTTTGGAGGCTGTCCTGGAACTCACTTTGTAGACCAGGCTGGCCTCGAACTCACAGAGATCCGCCTGCCTCTGCCTCCTGAGTGTTGGGATTAAAGGCGTGCGCCACCAGCGCCCGGCCCAGTTAACCCTCTTATGTGTTCCTCCAAAGTTATTAACTCACACATAATTAGCCTTTTAAAATTATTTCTCATTTATTACTTTGTATGTATGGTAGTGGTGTGAATGTGCCATGGAACACAACCATGGTGCTTACATGGAAGTCAGATGACAACTCTGTGGAGTTGGTTTCCTCCTGTCTTTCTGTGCATTCTAGGGATTGAACTCAGTTGTTAGGCTTCTGTGATAACCACCTTTACCCAATGAGCAGTCTCAGTGGTCCTAGCTTTTTCTTATACAGATATCTTACCTATAACTTTTTCTTTTTCATTAACATAATTTGAAGCTCTTTGGTATTCAGACATCAGAGTTACTCTTCCTGAAGACTATCAAAACTTCAACATAAAGCTTTATTATGATTTAACCACTTTTTTATTGATGGGCATTCTGGTTATTTCCAGTCTTTTGCCATCATAAACAATTTTGCTACAGATCTTTATGCAGTTTTCTTGCTCATATGCCAGTGTATCTAAGATGAATTCTCAGAACAAGAATGCTAAGACAAAGAGGCTATATAAGTTCATAAATGTTTCATTTTCACAATATTCCCAAGTTACTTCCTATAGTTCACATCAATTTATATCCCACCAACAATCTACACACTTACATCTCCACCAATACTGAATGAGAGATATACTCATACCCTCCCTACACTGACTCTAAAGCAGTGGTTCCCAAACTGTTGGTTGCAACCCCTTGGGGGGGTCACATATAAGATATTTATATTATGACACATAATAGTAGCAAAATTATAGTTATGAAATAACAAAATAATTGTAATGGTTGGGGGTCACCAAACAAGAGGAACTAGGGTCCTAGCATTAGAAAGATTAAGAGCTGCTGCTCTAACGGAATCTGGCTTTTCAGCAAGAGTTAATGAGCTACCTAGTATTTAAACTGTAAATGGTCTTGCTCATTAGTAAAGGGGGAAAAACAGACTTCTGAAATCCTAGATCAGTAAAATTGTGAGAATGTATTTTCAAGTAAAAGAGTAAGTTGTCTATTTGGGAAGTGGGGAGGTGCCCAAAAACAAAACCCTAGAAAGCCAAATCAGGGAAGAAGAGAAACCTTCATTCAGAGGATGTAAAAACCAGCGCATGGATCTTCTACGTGAGAGTGCTTCAAGGTATTGCCAAAAACTGCAACAGCCTCAGGCGACAACAAGGGTGAAGTCTGGGCCATGTGGCTTGGAAATTCCAAGGGAGTTCTTGTCCCCTGGTGCTTCTTGGAGTTCCAGGAACAGTAGCCCAGAGAATTCAGCTGATTCCCTTAGGGCTCAACTCCCTGACCTCTGTGGCCTCAGAAGCTATTGCCCTGCTGTCCACACTGGGACTAGATCTTCATGTTGCCATTAGCCTGCTGGGATTCAGAGCAAGTAATAAGATAGCTTTGGATTATTAAACTCTTCGTGAAACACGGGTTATAATAAATTGTTTTTATGTCTACATGAGGAACTGGAGTAGGGGAGAAAGTCCTCTAACAAAGATGTAGCTAAAGGAGCTGGGCTTCTAGAACTCCAGATATCATCTAAGGAGTGTGGGCTAGAGTTCTTCAAATTCAGCCCACGGGCTGCTGCATAATTTTGTGACATGTACATACCCACCTTCTGTCTCATCCTTGGTCAATCTAAGTCAAAGGTCAAGAATGGCATTGAAATAAATGAAACTCTAGCCTGAGTAGTCCTCAGACAAGTGTGCCTGCACAGGGGTGCATGCCACAGTATCCCCAGCACTAGGCCATATCCATGGAGTCATGATCTCTGCCTTCAGCTATCAATGATATTATCTGAACAGATACATGATACATGAAGATACAAAAAACGTACAGTGGAAGCTAGACAGGTGGCACATGCCTGTAATTTCAGCGCTCAGAGGAAGAGGCAAGAGAACTTTCATTTAAAAGCATGTCTTCTGGATATGACAGGCCTGTTGCATTCATGAATTCACTGCAGCTGTCGTTGTCTAGATAACGACCAACACCAGGTCAAGCCACTCAACATTCCAGCATAGATGGGAGAGGCCCTTACACGGCTCCACCCCTAGCTGAGGAGCTACTGGCAACTGATGGATACTAGGGGAATGAGAGTCTGTTCCCTTTAAGGGTGTGGCCCTGTAGGTCAAACATGCTCAGGTGGACAGCTCCACACCTATGAGTACATGGGCAGCAAAAAAAAAAAAAAAAAAGACGTTGGGTGGGTAGGGTGAATCCAGGAAAAGTTTGGGGTGAATATTGTCAAAATATATTGTGTACACCTATGGACATTTTAAAGGTCAGGTGTGGTGTCACACACACCTTTAACTCCATTACTGGGAGAAGAGGCTGGTTGGATCTCTGTGAGTCGAAGGACAGCTGTGACTACACAGACAGTCCATATACATGACTTAATAAAATATATTAAAGTATAAAACAAAACAGTAAAGAATGGAGGCATTCCTAGAAGAGAAGGTACTTTAGGTTATGAGGGTCTCTTTGGTAGCTTTTGTCCTGATTTTTTAAAAAAATTCCCCAGGGAGGGTGAGGCCCTCCATGGAGGGGCTCCAGAGTCTGTCACTTCATCCAGGGCAGGGCCTAGGCCCTCTCCCAAGAGTCCAGGTTGAGAGAGCATCCCTCATTGTGGGATGGGCAGCCAAAGACCATTTGTATGCCAGGGATAAATACTACCCAAGGTCCCAAAGATTGCCTAGGCCTCCTCACTGACACATTCAAGGGGTCTGGATCAGTCCCATGCAGTCCTCCCAGTCATCAGTCTGGGGTTGTCCTGATTTTAACTCTATTTCTTTCCATCTAAATGAAATCTCTCTGAGGTACCTTATTTTGATGATGATGATGATTATTATATATCGCAAATGTCTAGTCTCGTGGTCCACAGTTGGTGGGATACTTCAATGAAGACTAAGAACAATGAGTTTCAGAGTGGCAGCAGGTGACAGGAACCACAAGAAGTAAGGACAGGGCTTGTAAATGGATGATTAGGCCAAGTGAGGTCTTTCAGGTGAGTGGTCATAATTGGATTTTATTGGATTAAAGCTGGTGCATGCCTTTAATCCCAGTACTAGGAAGGCAGAGATGAAATTTCTGTGAGTTCGAGACCAGCCTGATCTACATAATAAGTTCCAGGATAGCCAGTGCTAAATTAACATTGTTTCAAAAAACAACAAACAAAAGAAAAACAAAACAAAAATTAAGCTGGGTGGTGGTGGTGCACACCTTTAATCCCAGCATTTGGGAAGCAGGGGCAGGTGAATCTCTGTAAGCTAGAGACCAGCATGGTCTAGAAGAGCTAGTTCCAGGACTGGCTCCAAAGCTACACAGAGAAACCCTGTCTCGAAAAAAACAAAATAACAACAGAAAGGAAAGAACTAAGTCTGGGCATTCAAAAGTGGCTTCAGCATAGAGGCTGTCCTGTAGTTGTCATGCAAGTGGTAGAAGATGGTGCAGAGAAAACAGAGCCAGAAAGACATAAGATACAGGAGAGAAAGACAAACACAAGTGGGCAAACAAGAACCAGGTCCCGACAGTCATGCTCCTTAGTGCCAGGCAGTTTTCCCAAGGGAATGGCAGCCAGTGCTGGATGGTTTGTCAGGATGAATTGAAACTGGCTGACTGGTGTCTGGATGTTTGGTTCAGTTAAGTAGGTAGTAGAAGCCCTATTTTCTGTGGTACTACTCTGTTGGCCAAAGAGTTCATTGCTAAGTTAGGGAAGGAGCCCTGTGTCTTTTTCCACATTACAAATGGGTTTATAATCAAAAGGCTTTGATTGGTTTATGAATTGAGAAAAAGCATTTTACTGTATACCACCTCTGGGAGTGGCTGGTTATCAGCATGTGAGGAACAGTTCTCACTGGCATGACTTCTGTCACCTGGCTCACAGGGTCTTCTGAGCATGCTATGCCATTTATTGGCTGGACTGAGACCTCGTTGATCCAAGAGAGAGAAAAACAGGCTGCGCTTGACTTTCTAGTAGTTAGCTGAACTGGCAAGCCTACCCAAGTTGCATGATGGACCCTTCCATGGATCTTCTTCAGTCAAGGTAAAAAAGAAATGAACAAATACCACAAGAAGATTCTCTGCTTTTTGCCATCTCCAGATGGGGCCTACTTACATTTTTGTTTTTCTGGAACAATGTTCTGGCTTCATTTAGTATGTACTGTTTTTCTTTGATGGTGTCTTCCATCTGCCCTGATGCTGCCTGCCACTTCCGAGCAAGCCTGAAAATGCTTCGGTAGAGGCTAAGGACTTCTTGTCGTGTTGCTGTTGTCATCTTCAGACTCACTAGAATAGAAGAAGGAAAATCTACACACAAATGCAGCTTGATAGTAGGCATCCAGACAGATGTACAGTTTTTGAATCAAGATTTTTAATTAGCCTAGATATAAGTGCTCCTTGCCAGGTCTGTGGGTAGCATTACCAGAATGACAGAGTAGAAGCATCACTTTTGTTCTCTCCTCCCATCTTTTTGATTTTTGACAGTCTCACAAGCTAGGCCTGTTTGGCCTGGAGTGCCATATGTAACCCAGCTTGTCTTCAAACCATCCTGGCTCAGTCTCCTGAGTCCTAGGGTTACACACCTGTACCTGCAGTGGAGGGCTGCCTCATTTGCTGTCTGCTTCAAGCCTACTTTTACAAGCATGGCAAGGCCAAATTTACCAGACTGACCAGAATACCTCAGAAATGATTTTAGTTTCTGTTCTGGTAAATTTACATGGCTAGCCTGAATTCCTAGAAGGCATATTTTGGTTTGTTTTGTTGAGACAGGGTCTCACTATGTCACCCTGGCTGGCCCAGAACCTGTTCTGTTTGTTTGTAGCAATGGAATCTCATTAAACCAGACTGGCTTTTAACTCCAGAGCCTTCTTTCTCCACCAACCAACTACAGCTCACATTTGTTACTTAGCTCTGAGCAGCAGCAGCCATCTAAAAAGGAGGGCCTAGAGACACCAGCTTTTTTTTTTTTTTGTAGTTTAGGTAACAGAACCAAGCATGGAAGCACAGGCCTGAACTGTAATCCCAGCACTCAAAAGGCTGAGGAAGATCATGAGCTAGCTTAGGATACATCTTTTAAAATAGTGGCATTTCATGCTTTTATAATGTGAAATCCTAAAATGACAATTATTTTTAAAACTGTGTTACCAAATAAGTCAAACAGGGTCAGTCTCAAGTCTCAGCTTTACCCACAGGCTGTATGTCTGCAATTTCTCTTAGTTTAGAAGACATTTCTCAAAACTATCTTCTTGACCAATAAGATCTGTACAACTAAAGATCTTTCCCATGGCTGAAGATCTTCTGACCCCTCTGACTTTTTCTATGAACACCAGTTTTAGTTCCAGTGGGTAATAAGTACACTTTCATTTTTATGACATGTTTCAGATAAAAAAGACAGAGAGTAACATGATAGCTACATACAATAAATAAGCCTTGAAGAACAAGTTATGGAAATACTTGATCCCCTCCCCAACTTGGTCCCCTTCTAAATCAATTTATTCTCTCTCTCTCTCTCTCTCTCTCTCTCTCTCTCTCTCTCTCTCTCTCTCTCTCTCTCTCCTCCCTCCCTCCCTCCCTCCCTCCCTCCCTCCCTCCCTCCCTCCCCCACCCCTGAGATAGTATCACACTATTTAGCCTTGGCTGACTGACCTGGGACTCTCTATGTAGACCAGGCTGGCCTTGATCTCATAAAGAACTGGCTCCCATTGCTTCCAGGATTTAAGATTAAAGTGTAGGCTCTCTTCTTTGTCAAAAGTACCACTATTCTTACTGCTGCTTACCATTGTCATGAATCCTTTACATTTATTATACGAGATAGCTTTACAAGTTTAGAACTTCATATAGGTTCTTCAAGTTATGTATGGGATTTTGTTTGTTTGGTTAATTCATTTGATTTTTTTGTTGTTTTTTGTTCTTTTTTTGGTTCGTTGAATTTGCAAGACTAAACAACACTGTCACACTGAACTCTAGTTCTAACATCATTGCTGCAGGTCACTCCACTCTAGAAAGAGATCCCAATGCACTTGTCTATTCTTTTGATGGGCAATTTTTTGGTTTGTATTTTGAGACAGAGTTTCTCTGTTTAGCCTTGGCTGTCCTAGACCTCTCTCTGTAGACCAGGCTGGCCTGGAACTCAAAATTTGACTGCCTCTCTGCCTCCCAAGTGTTAGAATTAAAGGTGTGTGCCACCACCACTTGGCTTGATAGGCATTTTTATAACTTACGCAAAATTTCAGCCTACTTCTTTACATTTCTATGTGTAAAAATTGAGAGAAAATACCAAGAAAAAAAAAGAGCTGTCCTTGGAGTTCTTAGTATGATTGAGCAAGATGACTACTACACTGTCTTAGACAAGAGGACAGGCTGGAAAGGCAGATCTGGTGAGTAAGCAGCAGGGCCAGGTACTTGGACACATCCATGATTTCAGAGACTTTTTTCAAACAGGCTTATCAGGATTGTGGAGGAGGCTAAACGCTGCCATTTAGGAACATAATCTATTTCCAATGCCCTACCTGGGGCTGAAATGCTATAGGATGGTCCTTAGCTGCTAGAGAATGATGGGAGCAGGAATGGGGATGCTTATCTAGAATTCTAAGTACCTTCAAGGAATCCACCTTATAGAGACTTTCTTCTTTGAAGATGACTGCCCTTCCAATTTATTGGATCCTGGTGGCTTTTCTTGAGAAACAAGGAGTGAACCAATGCGTAACCATTTGAAGAAAAGCTTGAAAACTCCACTTCCCCAATCCAGAAGTTTAAAGAATCAAAGTTATACACACTACCATCAATGATGCTTCACAGAAAAAATGCTTAAAAGGAATTCATAAAAACCAAGTGAGAACATCATGGGTAATAAAAACCCAGATGAGATGATGCCATTTTTCCTGGTAAGGAAACTGGTTTCTGAGTTTCTGGCTCTCCTTAAAACTCCACAGTCTCATCTGAAAATCCGTGAGTCAGTTCCTGTGAGGGGCAGTAGCATCAACTAATGATTGCTTCACTTCCCTGTCATTAACAGATGAAACTTCCTTGACTTTCAGATAGTGGCAGAGGAAATTGAAGGTCAAACATATTAAAACCTTAGCAAATTTCTCAAAGCCTGACTTTAATTGGTTTTCTTTTATTGCTCTAAGAATTCTGATCATAAACTATGACACAAAAGGCCTGCAATTAGATTACTCAAGGTAATGAGTGCTAACAATTGACACTTATAAGACTATTTTGAAAACACTTTTAGTGTGTGTTTTGAAAACTAATCCACAAAGGAAAATAGGTGATGATTCTCCAACATCAGGTGACCCAGAAAACTCAAGTCACAAAGACTGCCAGAGAGAAAAGTCAAAAGCTATCTTTACTACCTTGTATGTGAACAGGTCCAGCCTATCACTCAAGAAAAGAGAAAAATTCATCTTTCGTAGTTCTCTTGACTTTGGGGTGCACGCCCATATTGCTCCCTCTTCACTAATTTTTTTTGATTAAAGACAAGATCTCACTATACAGTTTTTGAGAGAAAATACCAAGAAAAACTGCCCTAAGTAGACCAGCTTGACATGAGATTCACTACCTACCTCTGCTTCCTAAGTGATGAGATTAAAGGTGTGTGCCACACCTGACCTGATTTTTCACTTGACCAATTTCTGTTCATCCTTTAGAGCCTTGTCTCTCCTTAACCACACACACTAGGTTAGGAATCAATTGAATCTTGACAGTTATTCTTTATAAGACTCATCACTAAAGTTCTGGTTTGTTAAAGTCTATTTTCGTCCAATAGGCTCTAATCTTTATGGGGACAGTTATTACATCTATCTTATTTACTGCTGAATTCTCTGTACCTAGAAAGGTTACAAACTAAGAATTCAACAAATGCACGAACTATCTCATGCTGCTAGCTTTAGATTCTAAAACTGAATCAGTCACGTCTAAAAAATTTAAAAAGTGCTCTTCTTTTTGGGTTTTTCTCTTTGGTCTTAGAAAGTAACTCATTCACAAACCTTGTCATTTCCTGAAGGTTTCCTTACCCAAGGATTTAATGGCTTGAGACCAACAGTCTTCTCAGGATTAACGAAATACAGGAAGCCTTTATCCTTATTTACAGTTGGTCAAGGGTTGATCTGATACGGTAGTGAGGTCTGCTGGAAGTTCCCCTTAGGCAACATAAAGAATATTCAGTTTAGAAGTCAGAACTTTATCTAAAATGATCATGAAGCCCATTCTTAAGAAATTTCTTCAAAGTTCTATGACATTTATTCATTAAACTACTTGAAGTATTTGTTCCTTTTCATCTCTTTAACATCCAGACCTCAGGATGAAAGAAGAAAATACAGGTGTGATGGAAGTAATTGTGACTGGAAGGTGGCTTCTTTTTTAAAAGCTGCACCGCCTGCATAAGCAGAGTACTAAAACAAAATTTATTATTGAGTGCATATTTTATAGAAGCCTGGCACACTTTGCTGCTAGTGTGTTTTGGCATCTGGCGCTCAGCTCAGAGAGGTCCCTAATGCACATCTCAAAATTGGATTGTAGAGGTGATTTTAGATGCATAATATCATTACATTAATATATACTGGAATGACCCATCACATCCATGATATAGATTTTTGTGTGATATAGGTAGGCTATGAATAAATTTATTCAGAAAATTTCTAACCAGAGCATTGTGCTCATACCTGTAATCCTGACATTCAGAAGGCTGTGAAGTAGGAGGACAGTCACAAGACTGGGGCCAGCCTGGGCTACAAGGTCAGCCAAAGGTACATAGTAAGACTGTCTCACTGGTGAGCCTATGCCTCTCTTTTGCCAGTCATCTCTCGTCACAGAGGTACCTATTCACTAACAAATATTCCCAGAGCACTTTCTCCCTAGGCCTAACATAAACACCTATTGCTCTTTTGTAGTTATTTTGTGTCTTTTTCTGCTAACTCCTGGAGAGCAGGGACTATGTCCTGTTCATTAAAATAAAACTAGTTATATTTGCTTTGCATTTACCATGGGCTTCACACTCTACAAGGTACTTTACATATAACTTTGTAAACATCACAATAATTGTGTGTCCGAAGTCACACAGCTAGAAATAGGCAGGGCCAGTATTCAAACCCTACAATCTAGAATCAGAACCCAAGTTGTTAATAACTAAGTAAGCTGCTCGATCTTGATAAATGTTGTTGGATATCTGCTGCATGTTTTAAAGGGCTTAGTTATTATAACAAAGGAGGCTAAATAATTCCATTGAAAGAAGCCATAGAATTCTATTATCTTCCCATACAAAGAGCCATGGAAGTGAGTATTTTGCCCCTTAGTATGTTTTATAAAATCTCCACTTGCCCCTGTTACTTCTTCAAAAAGCATTATACACCTAATATCCTTCAAAGGAAGCTGTGCCCCTGGTTGGAATGCTCTGCTCTTCAGTTCTCTGTGATAATCTCTCTGACTCCAAGGGGAGCTGACATCCCAGAAGAGAAAACAGAGAGACTCATCAGAGATACAGCCTGCACGCTTTAAATCTCTTCTGCCAAGCAGCCTATCTATTGATCCACTCAGCATTTATTGGATGTGCCTATTATGTCCAAGACCATGTGGGTCTGGAAATATCTTATCTTCTAGTGGTAGAGGCAAATGATATACAAGAGAACCAGAGAATTTCATAGAGTAATGTGTTCTGAATGAAATGAACAAAAATGAAAGGTATTTTTTGGGGGTCAATATATTTGACCAGAGCTCTGAATGGCATGAAAAAGACTAATGATGGAAAATTAAGGGGAGGGTGGTATGGGGAAGGGCACAGAAGAAGCAAAGCTCTGGGACAGGCAACAAGCAACGTTAAAACTGAATGCAAGTGAAGACTTGCCAGGGAGGCCACAGGTCAATACAACCCAGCACTGATGGGAGAGTAAGCCTGGGAAGAAGTTTGCATGCAAAGGCAGACATTGACATATGTGAAGCAAATGGGAGCAACATGGTTAAAAATGTGCTAGAACCAAGCTGTATTATAACTATTATGATTCCATCCCTCTTATAGAAGATGAAATGTGAGATTTGCCTAATGTCACCTAGCTGGCAGGCAAGTCAAGATGAAAAGTCTCGTAAGTTGAGTGATTATTTCCTTGTCTGACCACAAGCTTTTGTGTTTTAATTTTGGAGTCAGTAATGGGGGTTTCTAATGGGCAGTGATAAATCAAGAAACAAAGATAAAACAAAAACCCAGGAAACATGCACTCATCTTGCTATTGGCTGTAAAGCATGTGAGCAGTGAAATAGTCTGTGGAGGCTTCAGAAACATACTCTATTAGGCATGCCTAGGTCCTTGGTAAATCCTAATCTAGTTTTACAGGAATCCAATGGACAGATTTGCTAGCACTAGGAGCCTCATCAACTTCACTGTTTTCCTCATCTCTAGAGTACTTTTGAAAGCTCACTGCAGCATGAATGTTTTAAGAGTTGTTTAAAAAAGAGTATGCCTGTGTGTGCAACTGAGTGTGTATATATGTGCATAGTGTAAGTGCAGGAGCCCATGATCTGAAGAGGAATTGATCCCCTGGAACTAGATTTAAAGGTGGTTGTGGGTGCTAGTAGCCAAACCTAGGTCCTCTGCAAGAGCAATGTTTTTAACCCCTGAGTCATCTCTCCAGTCCCCATTTAGGAGTTTAAAAGACAATTCCCCCTTCTGCAGATGAAGTTTATAGAAGTATGACTTTGGTCTTAAGAATGTCAAAAATTCCAGCTACTGGAGTCTCTGAGGCTTTGCTTTCTCTCCTGAAATAAAAACTGCTACAGTACAACACACAGAAGGGACAAAAAGGGAACAGGGAAAGGGGATATTAACCTGACTTTTAAGTTCTAGGAGGTAAAGGGGAAAATCCATTCCATTTCTTTTAAGAAAGACCTGACTCTAGGATTTCCTTTTGTCCTAGAAAATTTCCCTCTCAAGTACTATGTGAATTGGGGTGGGGATGGGGAAGGCTGTGAAATTCACCCAGACAAAATCAATCCTGCTGTTCTGCCTCTTTAGATATGGCACCCCTTCTTGCCTTGTGAAGCCACCAAATCACCCAGCCAAAATATCCTTTCTTTGCCTACCTGCTGCTTTCTCTGCCTATCTCTTAGCCTTCTATTGTCGCATCTTTCTAATGCAGGGATTATGACCGTGTCCTGTGTGTATCCCCAGCATCTCTTCCTTACCCCTATCGATCATACATCATGTTTTTGAAGGTTGACTTTCTTATATTTTACTTATTTTGTGTGTACATCTGTATGCATGTGTGTGGGGAGCAGGGCACAACTCCAGCTCTCCCCCTACTATGTACATCCTAGGGATGGAACTCAAGTTGTCAGGTTTGGCAGCAGGAGCCTTTATACACTGAGCTATCTTGCTGGCTAATTTTCTGTCTGACTGGACCCTTCTTCCTTCATTGTTTGTGAATGTATGGGGAAGGGTGGTAAAGGCAAGAAGACCAGATGGAGTCTTGTTCCTTATACTTCTAGACCTGATACACAATTGGGATATGAAAAACATTTGCTAGGAGAGTATTATCACACACAAAATGGTCATCAGCAATATTCACTCTCATCCTGAGATATATACTATAGCATCTGGAAGAGTTCCTAATTAAGATCCAAGAGTTTGGGCCAGATAGATGGTTCGGCAGGTAAAAACACTTGCTGTACTGACAACCCAAGACTGACTCCTGGAACTCACATCAAGGTGAAAGGAGAGAACCGACTCAACAAATTGTCTTCCTCCATCTGCACATTTACTATGGCATGCATGTGCCCCAACCCCCATTGCATACTAGTAAGTGAATTTTAACCAAAGTTCCCAGGACACTGAAAACAATTCAGAGCTGTTTGGGTGGAGGCTTATGGTTCTAAAGACAGTATTTTAAGATTCACACCTATGAATGCTATAACCCTCATTTCTTTTTTTGTCCCAAGACAAGGTTTCTCTGTGTAGCTCTGGCTGTCTTGGAACTTACTCTTTAGATTAGGCTGGCTTTAAACTCAGAGAACTGCCTACCTCTGCCTCCTGAGTGCTGGAATTAAAGGCATGTATCAGCCTGGCTACAACCCTCACTTTTTTAAAGGTCAGTAATGGTTTGTCACTAGCCTGAATGACCCTATTCCCAGGAAGCTTAGAATCAATTAAATGGAAAAGTTTTTTTTTCCTTGAAAACTAATCATTTTGGGGACTAAGATACATTGCATCTAATGATCTAATTTTAAAACCAACCCAGAAAAGAATATTTTAAAGGACTTGTCATTTGGGAAACTAAAATGCTGTGTTTTGTTTTGTGACAAGGTCTCTCTATCATGTAGCTCTGGGCACACACTTCAATACTGACCTGCATCTCTCAGTGTCCTTTTACTTTTCATTTTAGATATGGTCTCACCAAGTTGCCCAAACTGATCCTGAACTTGCTCTATAACCCAAGAAGAGGCTTGAACTTTTGCTCCTCAAGAGCTTTACTGGTGCTTTCATTTCTTAAAATGCAACATGCAACACAGAACATTTTTCAGAGTTGTAATGATTATTTATGAGCTACTCCATTAAAATACTTAGCACTAGGAAGTAAATGCACAAGTTACCTGAATAGGAGGAAATTAGAGTAGTGAGGCCTTTTATCTATGGTTAACTTTGTCAGCAGAGAATGGAAAAGTATGTAGCCTGTTGGCTAATTTGCTGCTTTGGGGTAATAATGGATTTTCCTAAAGCTGTTTCCCTCTGATCATTAATAATCCCTGTGCAGTAAAGGGCTATTGTTCTTCAGTATGAGTAAATAACCCTGCTGGAGACACCACTTATCTTCAGACCACAATGCATGCTTCTTACTGGAAATATAACGCAGGTGCCAATACTAAGCTTTCCTTCCTATGTCTCTTCCTTTATCTCTTTCTAACTCTTTACTGTCGCTGCTCTTTTTCTCCTAGAGCTTTTCTAGTCCCTATTTTTTGTCAGATACTGGTTGGTATACTGAATGATTTTATTGTCACAACTGAACAATCTTCAAGTCAAGTTAAACTGTGCCCCACAGGTCCCTGGTCCCCTAGCCTCTCTTCTCTCTCTCTCTCTCTCTCTCTCTCTCTCTCTCTCTCTCTCTCTCTCTCTCTCTCTCTCTCTTCCCTCCCTCCCTCCCTCCCTCCCTCCCTCCCTCCCTCCCTCCCTCCCTCTCTCTCTCTCTCTCTCTCTCTCTCTCTCTCTCTCTCTCACACACACACACACACACACACACACCCCACACACACACAGAGGGCTATTTCCTGTCCTAGATTTAGTTTTTAGTTATTAGACTCTGAAGAGGGAAGTGATACCATACAGTTGTGCAATTCTCAGGATATGTTCATTTGGTGTACTTCATACCACAACAATTCTCTGAAACAGCATTTTTTATAAAAAAAATTTACAAGAATATTCGTGTACAAGAGGTAGACCCAGGGAAGGAGGTGAACAATATATTTATCAAAGGGAAAATGAAATTAGGTTAGATCCTGAAAAATGGGAAGCCATCAGAACAAAGGGGGAAATTCAAATACCCATACCAGAAAGATTTCTAAAATAACTATCCCAAACAAAGCAATAGGAGGCAAACATGCTTCTAAAAGCAGATGTTCTTTGACTTGCAGATTAGGTCCTGACTGGGAATGTTCCTGGAAGCTGCTGACCAACATTGGGGCTATTTCCAGCTCAGGAAAAGATTAAAATTCAAAGTGTAGTTTCTAGTGAATGTATCATTTTTCACATCATTGAAAAGTTGAAATTATTTTTGTGTTGGGAACCATCAGTGTATTATGACAGCACTAGAACACACATCAAGATGATATGTATACACGAGACTGACCCAAAATTGCAAGATAGATCAACCAGTCAACTTATACTATCCTATTCAATGCAAAACTTCTAAGCAGAAATCAATTTATAGTTCAATTCAAAATAAATGGGCATATTACCCCTCACGTGAACATTAACATTCTGAATGCTGGGATTATAGGCATGTGCCAGCATATTTTAAGAAACAAAGACAAAGATTAGCTAGAGGTATTCAAAACCAGTGAGACATACAAGGGAGAACTGGGAACAAGCCAATGTGAAGACTCGTTCATAATTCTCCAGTCAGTATCTTTAATCCTTCATAGCAAGTAGGGAGGTCACATAGCCCAAACACTAACTTAAATTCCTGCGTTGTGACATTCTTCTAAGAAATTGGATTAGAAAACTACAAAAAAGTTTTGGTGGATGTAGGCTGTGGTGTTCCACACCTTTAATCCCAGCACTCAGGAGTTCAAGGTCAACCTTCTATAGCGAAAACTGTAGGTAGGTCACCCAAGGCTACAGAGAAAAATCTTATCTTGAAACAAACCGGAAACAAAAAAGGGCTTTGGTGACAACGTTGGGTACAACTGGAGATCTCTTGCACTTGACTATGTCCAACAGACAACAGAATTATGCATTGAGACCATGTTTCCAGAACATTCTCCAAGGACTCTCCAGTTATCAAATGAGTAACTTTATTTGTAGGGCCCAATAGCTCCTTACCAGACTGTCCAGAGAGCAGGACAATGGCTGTCTGGCTTTACTCGTGAGGAATAATTGGCACCCAGAATCATTAAATTCTTTCAGTGCTTCAATCCAACACTGAACAAAAGAACTGTGATAAAACTTTTCTGTTTTATCCACCAGGGCAGAGACTAGTTGCATGCAGCTCCTGGACATCTGGAATATGTGAATAAGGAACTGTTATTTAAATTTAGTTACATGTGACTAGTAGCTACATATGGATAGCACAGTTCTCAAGTCAACTGCAAATCAAATGTCAGTTTGGGAGTGGGAGCAAGGAGAGATACTTCTGGCTGACTTGGGACATAAGACACACACAAAGGACAAGCAACTCTTCAGCTTTGGCTGCTGCTGTGCAGGGATCTCTAGGAACTTCAGACTGTCCAATTTTCCAAACAAAGCCAAAAATCTGGACTCTGATGTTCACGCTTTAAAAACTGGCAAGCAGATTAAAAAAAAAGACTTTAAATCATATTGTGAACTGAACAATAATATGCTTGCAGGCATTATCTGTTTTGCCAGCTTGCAAGTTTTAATCTAGGCCAACCCTATCAGCTCCAAGAGAAAGACCTTTTCCAAGGCCACCCTATTAGATGCAGATCCAAGAACGAAACCCAGGCCTTTTGATTCTTCTGATACCCTTCCCATCGAGATTCACTATAATGGTAGTGCCATCTATAGCAGCAGGGACAAAGTTCACTTTGTAAGAATTCCAAGGCTGAGCAGAGTTGTGTGTGGTGGCCCACTCCTTTAATGCCAGCACTTGGGAAGCAGACGTAGGTAGATCTCAGTGAGTTGGAGGCCAGCCTGGTCTACAAATTGAGTTCCAGGACAGCTAGGACTGCTAAACAAAGAAAATCCTGTGTGTGTATTGGGGGGGAGGGATTCTAAGGCTGGTATCTTATAAAGTGTTTCTACCCAGATACAGCAAAACTGTTGGACTCCAAGGGTACATGTCTGTATTAGGAGCCACAAAGACACAAGGAAGAAACAGTCTTTTGGGAAGACAAATGTGTAAACCAACATTTATCAAGAAACCAGATAATGCACAAAGATTACAAGTCCAAAAGCACTGACGGCTGAGAGAGCAGGAAGACTAGAGTCAGACCTTCATGGGATAACTCACTGATTGTGAGGATTGATCCTGTTTAAGGATATTAAGGGGGGTCTCCTCATCTTTGAGGTGTTACTCTTGTTGAGCTTCCTATTGGCTTCAACCCCTTCTGGTGATCTTTAAATGTGAGGAGACCCAAGGAATTTGTGAGCGTTCCTATCTACTTTCTATTCCTAACTCTAGGAATAAACCCTACATTTAGTATGTCCACCAATGACTTTTCTTCCTGTTTGTTTACCTCATTTCTGAACACCTTTTGGGGGCTGCAAAATGAACTTTGACATATGTTCAAGAGAACTTAGGCTAGTCCCTTTCAAAATGTTTTCTCTCGGTAGACATCTCTGGTGCCACCCTCTCCCCCACATTTCATATCTAATTCAGCAGTCTGTCAGGCATGCTCATGCTCCCAAATACATTCTGAATCAATTTTCTTCATCCAACACCACTGTCACCTCTCCCATGGCATCAGCAACAGCCTCTTAGTAGGTTTAACTACCTTCTCTATCCAGCATCAATTTAAGAAATGTAAATAAGGTCCGATCAATCACTACCCTTTAGGAAGTAATACAAAGGCCGAATCCTTGTTATTTTGCAACTGCAAGAAAGCTTTCAATTTCTTCTGCCTTTTGTTTTCAACGTTATCCCTTCGACACTTTTTTCCATCTAGGCCTTCTCTCCACTCCATCCAGCCTTTGGAGGAGCTGCCTTCTTTTTCTCCTTTGCTCATGATGGTAATGAAGCTAGCCTTAATTGTCACCTGGTCTGATTCCTACATCCGGGTTCATTTGGTGACCCTTCTCAAAGCAGAAACCTCTCCAGCCTCCCAGAACTGCCCCGTCGCCTTCCATTTACATTCGAAAAGTCTGAAGGGTCCCATGCCAGGACTCGCCCACGTGCCACTTCCCTTAGGCAGGTCTCCCGAGGCCAGCAGCGATGACACCGAGCCGCCCTCGCGAGGCTGGGGTCACACAGGCGCGTCTCCTAGCAACCCCACACCCTCACCTCATCCCTGCCCCAGGGGAGCCAACCCCTTTCCCTAGTCCCCAGCGACTGGAGCCGGCGTCTCCATCCTTACACTCACTCTGCGTCAGTTCTGCCTTCCCCCACCCACAGGAGCCGGTTGGGAGGAGGCGGTGTTGGGAGCTCTGCCGAGCCTGGGCCACACCGAGCTCCAACCAGCAGGTCGGGTAGACCAGGCCGGGCCAAACCACCGGGCGGACCGCTGTGGGAGCATGAGGCCCAGGTCAGAGGCTGTCTCAAACCTCCTCAAACTTCCAGCCCTAGCCCACTCCCCGCCGCACTCAGCAACAGCCAGCCTCCATCTCCTCCTACTTTCACTTCACCCTTTCGTTATCCCCTTCCCCCATTTCCAGTTAGAAAATGGCCCGGTCCAGCTCCTCCCAGCCCACCCTCCGCTCCCCTCCTTGCCCTTACTTGGAGACGGCTTCGGACGTCCTTGTGTACGTCGTGACGTCACCCTCCTCACTCCCGTCCCCGCCCTTCTCCCATTCTCTCCCTCCTGGAGCCAGCGGCCGGCGGGGTTACCGGAAGTGATGATGCAGGAGGCGATGGAGGGGGCGGGGCTTCGGGGCGGCCGCCGCCGGTGGGCCGCAGATGAGGAGGAGGCGGCGGCCGCGGTGGCAGAAAAGGCGGCGGCGGGGGTAGGGAGCCTGGAAACGCAAGCGGGGATGGTAGGTGGTTTGGACCCGCCGGGCCGCCGTCGTTTCCAGAAAGGGTTTGACTGGAGGAACCTCTGGAGCAGCTGTGAGTTTGGAGAGGGGGGGAGGGAGTTGAGGAAAAGGGGGGGAGCACTGAGAGATGAAGGGGCGGGGGTTCGGTTCCTTCGAGAAAGGGGGTGGTGGTGGAAGGGGAGGAGTGCAAATCAGCGCCTTGTCTGGACTGGTCCCTCTGGAAGAAGAGGCTGTGAGGGGAGCCTGTGGCGTGTCAAGCCCAAGGCTCAGAAAACTTACCTACTGTCCCTGCCTGCCCGTCGCCAGCACCCCTCAATCCCGGGCCTGGGGACCTGGGGCCGTAGATGCTCGGGGAGGGGCTGCAGACTCTGAACTGAAAGTCCAGGGTAAGAGCCGTGAGGTAGGAGCCCAAGGGGGAGGTGGCGGGTGAATCTCACAGCTCCCTCCTTGATTTTCTTCCCCACCCCCATCCTTGTCTGTAATCGTTAACAGCCCTGGAATTAAGGGGCTCAGACCTGAAGGCCTTTCTGTGCACCTTTGCTACAAACGATAACCATCTGTGCCTGAGGTAATGGGGCTGGAGGCTTTGCCTATATCCTGTTTAGGAAGTGGGACGGGGTGACAAATGTATTGTTTTTTCCATCCCCACCTCTCTCCTCCCCCATACACACCCCTGTTTCTACTTTAATTCTCCGGGCTTGAGTGGCAATCGTGGTCACCGGCTCCCCTTTGTGGCACTTGGTACCTTGGTTACCTCTTTTGAATTTTGTGTTCAGCCTCTATCCCAGCTCCTAACTGCAAGCTTTGTAGTACTTCAGTTGTGGTCTGTGTCACATTGGGGAGTACCTCACAACGCCGCCTGGCTCCCGATTATAATGAGCATTTTCTTTTATGAATACTGGAATTCCAGAGCTCCTGCAAGGAATCATAAATGGCATCATAGTCCAGGAATCAAGGTCTCTCGCTCTAAATACTTTGTGTGTGAGGAATTTACATGTTGTCAACTCTTTCCAAAAATGATTTGATGTTAGGCTAATTCTGGATATCTGTGTTTCTCTCCACCCACACTTCATGATGCACTTCTGAGAACAGAAAACCCCATACTACTTTTTTTGTTTTTACAATTGGACAATAGCTCTTTCATCTCTTTCTCGATCTGTGTGTCTGGCACACTTCAGTGACAATCACCTTGTGCTGATTTTTATCTTAATTTAGCTAATGCTTTGTGTATAGGTGGCCTTATAGGAGACAATGTGATGTGTAGTTTTGTTTTTAGCAGAATACAAATCCATAATGATACGGGAATGTTTGAAGAAAGAATAATTGAAAAGATCTCCTTCACATTGTTTAAAAAACAAACAAAAACCCACCATGGAATAAGTAGTGCCTCTTCTTACCTGTCTAGGCATTTCAGAGTGAAGTGTTAATGATTCTTGTTTTGTGGTTGATACATTTTTAAAAAGAAATCCTCTGTTGATTATGGAACTGTCTCCTAAAAAGCTATGCTTTAAGAAATGGTGCTAAATTTTAGGGGTTCTTTGACTAGAAAGTATACATTTTGCTTTGTCACTGAATTTGATGTGTGGTGTCCTTTGGATTATCATAACAGATGGTCTTCTGATGCTGGGAAGGGAGTCCCATCATACTTACCAGGGCCTTCAAGCCTGATAGAACACAATTCTTAATCCCTTACCATGTAAGTTATGGTGTCTTGATGGCTTACAGAAATAAAAGAATTACCTCTAGACTCACTTTAATTCATTTGGAACCTAGTTTGCCTTTGAATGAAAAGTTCAAATTTCATCCAATTAAGACTGACTATTAAGTACTAGCCAGTATTTCAAACACAGTGTACAAAGGTAAACACGAATAAAAGGTCTACTCTCGTGGGGTTTATCAGAATGGGAAATGGGGGCAGAGATAATAAAAAAGTCTGATTTTGATTAAATGCGGAAGAAAATGAGTGATGGGATAGAGAGTGTGACTGGGATGCTGTGAAGGGAGGACTTCCTGAGGTAACACTTAAAACAGAACTTTAAATGAAAAGGAGCCAGCCATGCATAGATGAAGGGAGGACTCTTGGAGGGTTAGGGAACAGCTCGTGCAGAAACTTGCTGGAATGAACTTGGCAAGTTCCAGGGACTGGGGAGGAAGAGTGAGGGTGGAGTATAAGTTTAGTGAGTAAAAGATTGAATGAAATAGGGTCAGAGAAGAGGAGTTAGACCCAGGTAGATAAATATGAGTAAGGAGGAGGAAGAAATGGAAAAACTCTCTTTTCTCTCTTTTGGTTAGTTCTATTGCCTTTCTTGAAAATTTTATCATTATTTTTTCAGGTTCTATTGGTCTATTATAATTAAAAACAAAAGCTGCGCTGGGCGTTGGTGGCACACGCCTTTAATCCCATCGGATCTCTGTGAGTTCGAGGTCAGCCTGGTCTACAGAGTGAGTTCCAGGACAGCCTCCAAAACTATACAGAGAAACCAAAAAAAAAAAAAAAAAAAAGCTGAGGGTAGTAGAGAGGTGCAACACGGGTCACTTGGGCTATGTGTTTAGGAACAAGCAGGATGTTCAGTTGAGGGCATACCTGTTCCCATAAAATATTTTGCTGTACATGCTGCTATTTAAAATTTCATAATAAGTACTCTGAATGTGTGCTAGTATTGACATCTTCCATCTCTGTGCGAACTTAAGATTGAAGGATTGGCATGTGTTAATAATATGTTTATCTACAAATGGCAATCTAGATCTAAGTTTCAGATTGTTTTTTTGTGGGGAGGCAGCATTTGTGTTGCAATAGTTATGCTCTTGCCTGGGCCTCTTGGTGAGTAATAATATTCCGAGAGGTAGGTTGATGCTAAAAGTTCACTCTGGGTCACATTAGATAAAGACCATTGTGAGACCCATTTCCACTATGTCACCATAGTGGATTGGCATATAACTCAGGGATGTAACCTACTTTTGCTTTCAGTTGGGGGCACTCATCTCCAGTTCAACCTTATCTTGGACAGATTGTCCACTTGAGAGGCTTAATCAAGACCTTGCCTTGATTTGGTCCTCTTGAGCTGTATCACAGTAGGCTAAAATAGAAAGTTTTTTTTCCTTCTTAACCTCACTAAAGTGACAGGAGTATTCTTTGAGTGAATTAGTCTTTTGAGCCAGGCAGTTGAGAGACATAAATGTTGCTTAGTCTGCTTGTATAGTAAACTCAGTCTTATTTATTTTTATTATTATTTGTTGTTGTTGCTTTGTTTTTTGTTTTTCGAGACAGGGTTTCTCTGTGTAACAACCCTGACTGTCCTGGAATTCACTCTGTAGACCAGGCTGGCCTTGAACTCACAGAGATCCTCCTGCCTCGGCCTCCTTAGTGCTCCTCTGCTTCTTGAGTGCTGGGATTAAAGACATGTGCCATTACCTCTGGTTCAGTCGTACAAATGTTAAATGAAACCTTTTGGTGTTTGGTAAAAAGTCAGAAATGGGAGATTTGATTTAGGTTCTAGTATTCTAATACTACCTGCAGATGACTCCTCAGAACTAACTTGGGTAGAGCATTCTGTGTTATTCTGGGGTAAAGAAGGGACCCAGCTTGTTATTGGAATGATAACACCAAGTAAATGCCTAATGCAAACTGTTAGTACTTGGCAGATGAGTAACTGATACAGACACACACTTATCTATGGCTTAGGCCCAGGTTAAAGAGCTTGCCCTGACTTGGTATGCTACTGCGGGCATGCAGTGCTCATTTGGTGTTAAGCAGTCTACTGTTTCTCTTCATTTCAGTGGTTTATTACAAGTCAAGTGTGAAAATAATGTCTAAACTGACATTTCATCAGCCAGTTTGAAGTCTACTTTTTGAAAGGGGATGGAGATGGGTATGAGGAGACTTGAACATGAGGAGAAGCCCTTACTTAACCCTTACATTATGGGAAATGAATCTAAATCTAAGCGAATTTGGAGTCTTGGAACTGAGTTAGCTTTTTGACTTATGATCCAGTCAATTTGTTTCTTAAGGTTTGGGGGATTTTGGACCCATCCCAGTGAAAGGTGAAAACCTAAAAACCAGCTGATGCCACTTGCCTTCGACATTGTGGGTAAGTTGTTTGCATTGCTTTAGATGGCCTAAAGTTAATCTGATTTTACTACTGTCTTGGTATGTGTTCTGTAGTGAGGAGAGTTAATTGTACACTGGCTGCCAGTTGTTTTGAGGTAAAGAAGTAGTAGCTCAGATTGAAACAATGGTAATTATGTGGTGACTACCATTTCCCTAACTCTTGCTAACTTACAATTACTCTTTGTGTCTGTTTACAGATGTTCATACCAGTGTACCAGGATCAGTTCTTCCTAATATAACAGTGTTCTTAGCTCTCCACAACAGACCAGGTCAATTGACTTAGTGTCCTTTAGTTTAAATCTAGTGTCACCAGTTCTTGTATCTGTTTTCCTAGGTAATGAAAGGTTTTATTTCTTTGGGAGCCAGAAAGGAGATTTGAGTGAGAATAATACCAAAAAGTGATGCAAACTGATTATTTGGAGTTATGTTATGGGAAAAGAGGGAAAAATGCCTAGTCTTTAAGATATATGCAAATGTGTTAAATGGTATTTAAACACCATAGGTTGGAACAAGTGGATGATGACTTCTGCTTCCTTGAGAGTTTGGCCTTGTCCACATCTTTGAACGGTGAATTTAATTGTTGGCTTTGGGGATGAGAGAGTCATAGGAGCCTGCATTGTACAGCAGTCTAAGCATCCTCATGTTCCCTTTCTGTCCTGCTGCTCATTGCTGAAGCATTCAACCTCAGGACTCAGTGGCTGGAAATAATGCTGTCACTGAGACCATTAGATCTAGATCAGCTCTGATGACTGGCAGATCTCTGTTAGCACTCTACAGAGGGCAGTACTTCATTTTCAGGGGCATTTAGCATCTTGTAGCCATTGTTCTTTTTGCCTGTCAGTCCAAGAGACTGGGTTGGAGAGATCTGCCCCTTGTTTTAGTAGTCAGTGCGTTTACTGTATTGAATGCAGTTAATTTTACTTCACCTAGTTTTGGAAGACACAAGAAAAAGTCAGACCCCTGCAAAACCTATGCCCCCTGCCTCCTGAGCACTGGTGATTACAAAAACCATGTACCACCAGGCTACCACAATGCTTCTTCCTCTTTTTCTCCTTAGCTAAGGTTTGAGGACCCCCCCCACCAAAAAAAAAAACAGAAGTATACTTGTGACAAAAATCAGGGCATTTTACTCTTTTTTTTTTCTTACCTCAAAGCTTCATTTTACAAAAAGTTCCTATAAGACTGTTGGGTTTCCAGATTTGATTTCATGGTCTGAGAATGAAATAAGGTGAAAACCAAGGATTTTAGTGGGAAAACAGAAATCAAATAAGACCAAGGTATGTGATGGGAAGCAGGATTCACTTACCCTGTCTTAGTTGGCTTCACAGTTTCTTTTAGGTCCTTATAGGCACTTAGCAGAATTTGAATCTAATTAAATTTTTGGTACGTGGCCTTCTGTGTTCCTTAGTTCTAAGCATTTTGTTACCAACTCTTAATTCTTTTCTTCAAGAACCCCTTATAATGTGGCACGTATGAAGCAGTGTTCAGTAATGGAATGAGAATACCCTACCTACTGTAGCACAAGTTGTGGATCTTTAAGTGGAAAGCTGGAGTTTCCCCCAGAGTGTTTCTAAAGGGACCAAAGTATATTCAAGTAGGAGTGGAGACTTCAGCACCCTGAGTTCTTTCAGTTTACTGAGACAGGGTCTTTATATGTAGCCCAGGCTGGCCTCAAACTCAAAGATCTCTTCTCTTGCCCTCCTAAGTGATGTTGGAATTGTATGGTATCACCATGTCTTGCTTCTAAGCTCTTAGATAACTAGTGGGTGTGGTTTAATAATAGCTGTGCAAAATGCTGAATTGTATATAGTTGTATTCCTAAGGACCTACTGTAGCTTCTGAACAAGAAAGCCCATCTATCCCCATTGACAGCAGTTTGATGTAAAGAGCCACAGTATTTACATAGGCCATCACTGTTTATGTTAAAAAGTATTTGGCTTCAGCTAGACATTTGCTTTAGCCAGGCATAGTGTCACACACTTGTGATACCCTACTCGGGGGTCTGAGGCAGGATTGTTGCACGCTTCAGTCCATCTTGGAGGCAGAGCTATATAGCATGACTCTGTTTCATACAAAACAAAAAAATTTGCACCGCTTCATGTCCCACACTTGCTCTGTATTCTTCAGTACTCAACTCAGGTGGAGGCAGGAGGATCAGAAGTTCAGGGCCATCCTCAGCTACATAGAGCTTTTGAGGCCAGCTTGGGGCTGTGTGAGATCTCATCACAAAAACCAAACACCTGCCTATCCCCTTCACATTTGCTTTATATTCACATTTCAAAAGGAGAAAGTCAGGATACCTTAGAGAAGATGCTGAGACTAGCAGCATGGGTCCTAGGAGGCAGGATCAGTTTGGAATTAACACTCTTAGGCCCTTTAAAGAGACAATTTTTCCTAACTGGTGGTGTTTTCAGGAGTGGTGAGTTAAATAGTGAATGCTCTATTAATTTTTAAGAATATTTTCATAGTTCTTGTGTTTCTATAATCAATTTTTATTTGAAATAACTAGTCACTTCTAATCATTTACTTAAAACTGTCACTGAAAAGCTCATGTTCATAGGAAGAATTCTACTTTGGGCTTCCTAACTTTATGAGGTCTACCGGTTTTTCTTGAGGCACTGAGTAGTTTAGTTGAGGTGAGTGAAATAGCAATCCTTTATTCATTTATTTAGTTGTAAGTGGAGGTGTCATGGAAAGGCTACATTGGGGAAGAGACTTGTCTAACTAAGGGAGCATCACTCTCCAGGAGGGCTCGGGACCTGCTCCCCATGAGAACATGCGTGGACAAGAGTGTAGGGATGCAGTGGATGGCGTGACTATACTAGTTTTCACAGTTGACTGGGCATTCATGATGGGGTGCTTAAGGCTGTTGCAATCATTTTTTTTTCTACTAATTTCTCTTTCTGTCATTTAGGAGTTCATATATTTTTAAGATTTTTATTATTTAAAACTTGAGTTCTCAAATCAGAAGCTGGTGAGATGAGAAATGCAATGCGCTTGACACTAGGTAGTGGTGCTTGTTGTTTAGCAACCTTCCTCTGGGAGCTGCAACAGTTACTTGTGAATGCCCAGATAGTTCCTGACTGACCTACTACAAATGTGAAATAACAGCCAAAGCTATTGAAGAAAATCATTTTTTAAAGATTTTATTTATCATGTATACAATCTTCTGGCTACATGCCAGCAGAGGGCACCAGATCTCATTCAAGGTGCCTGTGAGCCACCATGTGGTTGCTGGGAATTGAACTCACAACCTCCTGAAGAGCAGTCAGTGCTCTTAACTGCTGAGCCATCTCTCCAGCCCCAAGAAAGTCATTTTAAACTTTCTATTTCTACAACATCTGTGTTTTCTTTGGCGAGTCCAAATAGTTCTTCAGTGTTTTTCCCCCTATGGTTTATTTTCATTTATATATGTGTGTCTGTATAATTGTATGTCTGTGTGCGTGCACTCACCCATGGATGTCAGAAGAGAGCACCCTTGGAGCTAGAAGCAGTTGTGAGTAACCCAGTGTGGGTGTTGGAAATGAACTCAGGTCCTGTGGAAGAACAGTACATGCGCTTAAACTACTGAGCCATATCTCCAGCTCTAATTTTTCTTTAAAAATTTTATTCTGCTGGGTACTTGTGGATCTGACTGAAGGACTTGATTTCCTAGTGTTAGAAATAGGAAATAGTCCTCTTGAGCTGGTGATAGGCATAGATTCTGTGATTACATCAAGCAATAAAGTGTCATGTGAGCATTGGTGAAGTTGGCTTTAATGTGTGTATCTGTTTCAGAGGTTATTAATTACATTGTTCCAACAGTTTTCTGGCAGTAACTGAGTGTCCAGCAACTCAGCTCTGATACTGTCTGGAATTAGCACAGACCCCACATGCCAATGACTCAGTTTTAACAAGATTGCGCCACTTAGATGCTAGCTGTGGGTATTCACCAGTTATCCTAACTTCTTATAAACTACAAGTTCAGGAGTTCCCACAGCCACTCACTTGTCAGGTTTGATATTATGCTAACACGATTCACAGAACTCAAGCAATGTGTGATAATTAAGATTCCTCCTTCTCCTCCTCTTTGACTTTTTGAGACAGGGTTTGTCTGTGTAACAGCTCTGGCTGTCCTGGAACTCGATTTGGATTGGTAGGCCAGGCTGGCCTTGAACTCCTGCCTCATCCTCCCCAATGTTGGAATTACAGATATGACCCACCATACCTGACTTTGTTCTCCCATTTTGTAATTCTGGAGTAACATTAGCTATTCTTTGTTTTGGGTTGTAAGAAACAGACTCTGGCCTTTAATGCCAGCACTTGGGAGGCAGAGGTAAGCAGATCTCTGTGAGTTTGAGGCCAGCCTGATCTATAGAGCGATTTCCAGGACAGGCTACAAAGCTACAGAGAAACTCTGTCTCAAAAAAAAAAAAAAAAAAAAAAACCAAACAGAAGAGAGAAAGGAAAGAAGAAAGGAAGGAAGGAGCAGCAGACTCGGTATAATATGAAAAGCATTCCTAGAGTGTGCTGCATTCCTGAACTCAAAGATGTACTAATGCTAGACCTCCCTAATTTCAGAAACAAGGTGACTTGCTGGTACAGTCTCCATGTACTCTCATTACATTTATTTGTTTGTTTGTTTATTTGAGACAAGGTCTCACTATATAGTCCTTGGTTGCCTGGAACTTGCTATTTAGACTAGGCAAATCTTGAACTCCCAGATCCACCCACTTCTGCTTCCCAAGTGATAGGATTAAAGTCGTGTGTTCTGTGTTACTCTTTAATACGAAAAATGTTTGGATGTACATAATCACTGATTAAAAGCACAGATCTAGAATTAGCACTATGGTTGTAAATCTGAAGTTCACTTGCCACTTGGAACTTGGGTGAGCCACATCTCTCTAAGACTCAAGTCTGTCGTGTGTCAAATGAAATTCATCACAGTAAATAGTTGTAATGATTATTAGTGCATTTGAGTAACCTTATATAGTATGTGTC